TGTACAGAGTTTATCCCTTCCTTATAACAAATCAAGCCTGGGGTCTGGGTCACTGAAGGAAGTTGGGCTGTGCCAATCAGTTATTCCAGCCTGTGGCATCAGTGAAACCAGCAGGTTACCTGGTTCACAGTCAGCTTGTGCCTGGACAAAGCAAAACCTCAGCTCTTGCATCCTCTGCCCCAGTGGTTTGAGGCAAGTGAGTGCTCCTTGTGCAGGTGCTGAAGGTGTCTGAGAACAGGCATTGCTTCCACCTTGTGCCACTGGCTGAGGCATGGCAAATTCCTGCCTCAGGTGTGTTAGGCACCTGTCCTGGATTAGGGCAAATTTGGGAGGAAACATCCAAAAGCGGCTCCCCCAGAAAGCCAACCCACACGGTCCCTCCCCACAACTGGTTCAGGAAAATTTGCTCAGAGAGAAGTGGAAAAAAAACCTGTTTATTTAAACAGGCAAAGCACTCCCCAGCACACAAAATGAACAATCCCAGATGACAAAACTCATTAGTCTCTCTGAAGGTATGACCAATTCAGAAAGTCTCTCCTGTGGGTGGTCACTCTGTTATCAGTCCCTCTGGCGCTGGGAAAGGCCGCTGCCCAGAGCAGGCCCCGGTGGGCCACAAAGTGCAAGATCTCGGTGTTTCACCGGGTACCAGTCCAGAGCAGGTTCAAACAGTTCCAAGAGAAGGAAAGAAAACCAGTCCCAGGAAAACTTGGATAGTCTCAGCTAGCTAAACTAACTAAAAAGCAAAGGAGGGCCCTGTCCTGCCCCGTCCATGCCCAGACAACACAGTGGAGTTCTGTGTTCCAGCAGACTGTGGAGGAGGGAGAGCAGGCTGATAACAAACTGTGTGCTTCTTCTCCCCATCTTTGCCCTCAGAGCCAGTCTTGAAGGCACAGAAAATAATATCCAGCATAAACAGAACAGACAACTGGGGATACAAGCATCATCATGTCACCCTAGTCCACACCCTTCTTCTCTAATATCTCAAAGAAATATGCAACCACAGCACAAGTTTGGCAGCTTTCCCAAATCCCTTGTCAGCTGTGAGAAAATGCTGAAGTAAAAGCAAGTGTGCAGGCCTTGCTGTAAGTCAGAATCTCTGCTAGGTTAGAAGTGCTGACTGCATCCCTTTCTCTAGGGAAAAATGGAAGGAGGTTGTTCCAATTTGAGGTCAAGGTGCAGTTTTAAGTTTCCTTTCTGTGCTGTTGGTGGTGGATATTGGCTCTCAGTGTGCCCAAGGACTCCGAGTGTCTGTCAGGGCAGTCAGGCTGTGGGAAGTGTCCCTGGCCCAGCACTGGACCTCCCCTCTGTCTCCCTGCTGGCTGTGGCCAGCATCTCCTGCATCCATGCACTCGGCCCTGCATCAGTGGAGAGGTGCCAGAGATCTGGGGACTCGTTCATGGCCTTTGCAAACCGGTTATTGCCCCACAGGGGCAGGCCAGGGAGTCCTGGGGTCCCTCTGAAATGGACAGGAGCTGCCTTAAGTCCTGCATTCAGCTCTACCCCTCAGAAACCAGGATTCCATCCTCTGTCATTCAGACATGGCCCAATCCCAAATGGAATAATCAGTTCACATGTCAAATTGCAAACCCAACACCCAGCCCCACAGCTTTTGTGGCAAATGACTGAAATGGCACTCACTGATCTGAGGTGTCCATAAATCAACAGGCTGAAAATGGAGAAGGTTGTCTGTGCCTGTGAACACATGTGGATCTTACTACTGATCTCTAAGTTTTGAAAAGAATGTTAGTATTATGAAATGTTTATCTTTATTTTTATCATTTCCATTGCTACTCTTCTATGTGAAGTGATGAGAGTAAGACCTTACTTTTTTTATAAAGTGTTCAATGAAAAATTGAAATTATGTTATGAAATTATCAAATTTAAGGTATTCTCTGGGGCAGAACAGGAAGGCACAACAGATCTTCTGAATCGTAAAATCTTAGAAATTTTGTGGCACAATGGAATATTTCATTTTCTGTTAGAAACAGTGCTCACTTTCATTGGCCAGACCATGAATTTAACTGTGTAATTAATCTCTGATTCTAGAAACACATTGTAAATTTAGACTTATGTATATTTTTCATTTTTTTTTCCTATTTATTTTTCTTTATATCTTCCTTTTTTTTTTTTTTTTGGGTTTTTTTTCCCCTCCATAGGTCTGTCTCTAAGTGCAGCTTTCTTCATAATAGTGATCAGAATTTAATGGAAGTGCAGTACAATAAAGCAAAGTGAACAGCTGCTTGTATGTACAACTGCTCACTGCTAATATTTAAGTCAAAAAATATATATAGATAGACAGACACATTCAGACAGTAAACACTTTCACATTCATCCAAACAAAAATGTTGTGATTTGATAATTTATCCTTCTAGTGGGTTTAATCCATGGAGTTAAAATTGTATATTTGTCAGATAAGTGGAAATAAAAGTGAGATTAGAAAAGCCATGAACCACTAGTGTACTATAAGTGGACCAGAAAGTTGTTTCCTGAATTATTCATGGCAACTTATTTTCTCAGCTAAGTGCAAAGAAAAAATATAGAAACTTTTGTTCAGCTCTGCATGCCTTTGTGTCAGCTTATTATTTCCCTGAATCACTGTTGCTTTTCTAAGAGAAGAAGGAGTTCTGTAAAGGGAAACTAACAATCTATTGTCTCTTTTATGGAGACTATAAAAATTTTATTCAAGTTATTTTCTTTTAACGGGAAACAAATGAAAAACTCAACACACAACACTAACTTTTAAATTGCTGATCGTGTGTTTATCTGCAGTCTGTGTTTTTAATAGTTTTAGTGTATTAGTCTCATTGCACAATTCTGAACACTATACAGATATTCCCTTTGCAAGTGTTTTCATGCTGCGGCAATTTTAATTTTGCCTTAATATTAAATCAGAATGGTTGTAAGAATGAATGCTGGTGACACTGTTTGGGATGATAGTGGTGAATTATCTTCAGTCACTAGAGACAAAATGAGAGTGAGTGCTCGAATTTTCACCCAGCTGACACACTTAAAAGCACTTAGGGTGGGGATAAATACCCAGATTATTTAGTGTAGGATTAAGAAAGATGCTGTAGGAGAGCAGTAAAGTGTGAGCTGTGCTGTGGCACTTCTGAGTTGAAAATGGAAACACCAAATGTTTGTCAGAGAAAGACAAATGTTTGGTATTTCTTGGTCCTAAATGAATAATTGGACTGCATTATCCAGCCAACAAGACTGAGAAGTAGCTAGCTTAATTAACTGCACACCTCTACAGACACCTAAATCTCTCTTCGCTTGTCATTTGCTCTCCTGCTCTATAGCATTTGTAATCACCCTTTCGATTATATTTAAACATATGTAATTTGCGTGGCCTGGTAGAAAATGACAGGACAATCTTTTACTGTAAAGTTGCAGCAAGATCATATTGGGATCAACAACATATCAGAACCTTCCTGCTGAGATGGACCCTGGGATATCTGCCATGGAATGCATGTGGATTTCCATGGACTGGTATCATTGCATGTCAGAGAAGTTCCTCTGAACCTTTTGAAGACAGATAATGAGGTACAACAGCAAGTAAGGCAATAAAGGTTAATAACATGAGTTTTCTCAGTCTGGGTTCAGTGCGCATTTCTGCCTTTGCTCAAATACCCCTTGAATCTACCTTTTTCTAGGCAGGTAGCAAAGCACAGCTGATATGTGCAGTGGGGACAGGGAGAGGACAGAGCAGTCAGAGCAGGGTTGGACAGAGAGCAGGGCAGAACAATCAGATGGGTGGCAAGCTAAAAGGAATAGCAAGCTTGACTAAAATGGTAGCTAGAACAAGACAGATCAAAGAGAATAGGCAAAGTCCTAGATGACTTGTCTAGAGGACATACTGTATTCATGGGTAGAACTTGCAGACTGAAAAGGGAAAAACAGGAATAAAACTAGCAGTTCAGCAAGCACCAAGTTTGTGTCTTGTAGATAGGACATGCATACTTTAACTGGGGAAAGAAATTATATCTTAGAGCAGCTGTGAATGATAGAACATTATGGTGCTGTAACCTGTAGCAAACTATTTACTTTGTCATAAAAGTAAAGACCTTGTGCTGACAAATAGATGGCCATATTTTAGTATCAGGCTTGTAAGCTATATAAGAAGAATGGGATGTTAAAATCTCTTGATAAGAGAACTCAGATGATACAAAGAGAGAAGGAAGTGTGTCATAAAAATATGAGCAATGGATTTGAATCTAGTTTTCTACTGTTCTTTAGAATTCATTTCAGTATCTCTTTGTTTAAAGCAGCCATCTTTTACATATAATAACTACCACATTCATTGCCAGCGTCAATATCATAAATTAAGTTGTGGTCTCTACATAAATACCCCATTGCTTGCCAAGGGAAGCAAATGTGGCAGCTCTGCAAAAAAAGACCCCTACACATGTAAAAACTGCCAAAACAGAAGCTAAAATAGCTGCAATAAAAACCCATGTTCCTGATTTTTTTACATTGTGGGAAAATGCTTTCTACAGCTCTTCAGGAGGAAAACCATGTTATCTCTGCTGATACTCCTTGTGGCACTGTGTGGGTATCAAAACCTCATTTTTTCACCTCATATGAGACTGGACAATGTTTGTCTTAACAAGTCTACATCATATGTAGAAAGCTGAGAAACTGGAGAAGGGATGTAACTTCACTGTGGAGGGCTGTGTGTTTTTTCTAAAAGATGGAAACATCCCATAATTCAGCCATGATTCACCATCTTCCTATTTGTTATGCATGAAATACAAATGCCCT